GGGGGGGGGGCCCCCCCCCCCCCCCTGCACTCGGCACCACCTTTTAACCCAGCCCCACTACCAGCCTGGGCCCCATGCAGCTCCATGCTAGCCTGTTGGGGCTGTGCATGGTGATAGCAGCTGCGGCCCCCCCGCTTGCCGCCCCGGGCAGTGTTTGCCACTGCCACCTCTGGCCTGCTTAGCATGCAAACTCCAGGCAGGCAGCAGCAGCCAACACTGCCTGATGCAGCATGCGGGGAGGCTGCAGCTGCTGCCGCTGCATGCAGCCCTGATGGGCGAGCCCGGAGCCGGCACAGAGCCAAGGCTGGCAGCAGGGCCAGGTTACAAGCTGGAGCTAAGGGCAGGGAAAAGCGGCCCCTCATTTGCCCCGTGGCTGGCACCCCATGCTGCAGCTACTTGCAGCCCATGTGGGGCTGCCTGCGCCTGCTCAAGACAGCCTTGCGTGGGCTGTGAGTGCCTGCAGCAGGGAGCACTGGCCCCGGGGCAGGTGAGGGGCCACTTTTCCTTGTGCTCAGCACCAGCTTCTTCCCTGCCGGAGAGCAGTGGGTCGAGGCTGTGCACTGCCCCCTGCCTGTACCGCAGGGCTGGAGGGGCACTGGAAGTGAGTGGGCGGGGAGCCAGCAGGAGCATGAGGCCTGTACTGGTGTCCCAGGGCCAGTGCTGGCGGGGCCCAGAGCAGGGTGGCAGGAGCGCGGGGTCCCAGCCAGCAGGGGCTTTGTGGAGCTGGGTCAGCTCCCCCCTCTCCCTGCTGGTGCAGCCCAGCCCAGCTCCACAGACCCCTGCCAGCCTGTGCCCCACTTTGGGCCCCACTGGTGCTGGCCCTGGAACATAGAACAAATGTCCCAATGTCTTGGGTCCCAAGACAATGGGACATTGATCCCAAGATGGTGACCAGGGGCAGGGCACCTGTCAAGGGGCAGGGCTACCCATGCGGCCCTCGACAGCCTGCCAAAACTGGGTAAGCGGCCTTCCGCCTGAAATAATTGCCGGCCCCTGTATTAGACTATTTTTGGCTTAAGATCTTAAGACCAATTGGCTGACTTAGCTTCCTTCCTTGCTTGATTCCACCTTGCAGATGTCAGGGAGCCATAAACCAAGACATTCTTTGGATAACAGCAGCAATTGGGCACTTAAAGAAGCAGTATTAGAATCCAATGAAAAGCAGCCAGACAAGTTTGGGGTCAACCAGAAAACAAAGTCTACAAGGATCAAAATTTTGGAGGCATCTAAGCAGGGCCTGGATAAAACAGGCCAACCAAAATAGCTAGTTGGAATAAGTTTTGCTTGGGTTGGACCAATTCAATAGGGAAGTTAAGATACAGAAATGGTTCTGTGAGTATGGATGCCTGTATTATATGCCTGGCTTTACTAATTTGTGTGCAAGTCTCTGTACTTCCTTTAATTCCCCATAGTCTATATGGGAATAATCATACTTACTTCCCTCAGAGGCCTGTTTTGATGCTTAATTAAATAGTGTCTGTAAAAAGCGTGACATGCCCAAACTGAGGAGACTAGAGAAGTACAAAATGAGAAAAAGAGCATTGTGTACCTTGAATGTTCATGAGTTATTTAGCATTCACAATCACTGTTATGGTCATTCTTCTTCTCTTTATGCTTTTCTAAACAGATTACAACAGTTTCCTCCAACTATGTTGATAAAAGATCAAGGATATCAGCAAAATGATCAGGTTCATTTTAAGACTCATCAAAATATCTATCCACTGAATAAAATTGAGAATATCAGTAGAAATTGATGCTTTATTTTCTGTCTTCCAACATGGTATTACAAAAAATAAAGAAAGTTTATGACTAGAAAATATTTTTAATAATGCTTTTCATTTTGAGAACAACATTCTGACTAGATTGAAGGGGAATACAATACATCACATGGGTGATCTAACTATGTGCCAGATTCAAAAGACTATAGTTTTTGTTGGTGATTTATGTCCCCGTCTCTGAGGACTCAGTCATATGCTAGTTGGGAAAAGAGCAGATGATCTTGTAACAGTTTTGTCTCTCTAGTTCCTTCAGTACTTAGCTCTAATCATAGTACTTACGGTTGGAAGAGACCTAAACAGATCATCAGGTCCAACCCCCTGCCCTGGGTAGGAATGGGTGCCAGGGTCATATCACCCCAGCCAAATATCTGTCCAGCCTCCTCTTGAAGACCCCCCAGGTAGGAGAGAGTACCACCTCACTTGGGAGCCCGTTCCAGAGCCTGGCAGCCCTAACTGTAAAGTAATGTCTCCTGATGCCCAGCCTGAACCTTCTCTCTAACAATTTGTGGCCATTATTCCTAGTAACCCCGGGTGGTGCCCAGGGGAACAGAGCCTCCCCCAATTCCCACTGGTGAGTTTGTAAATGGCCACCAGATCCCCTGTCATCTAATGCAGCATTATTCTTCACAGAACAGAAAGAAATTGGATAAAATTAAGTGACAATCAGATTACTGCCCCAGTGTCATGCCCAAACATATGCTTAGGTTACATGACTTCTAACGTGTTGCATCTTCACCTTTCTTTACAATATGACACATGTGAAATTGACTGAAAGCCACAGATGATGTCTCTTTTGTGTGAGATACTGTGAAATATCAGCATGACTTCACTTGGTTGTTCTTCAATATTTTCATTAGCTATCAATTCCTGTGACTTCTCCTTAGGCATTTCCTGTGAATGTCTTACAAGGCATTTGGCTCACTGTAGATAAGACTATGATGGCATTTCAAAAGAGCCAGAAATGGTACAAACTTTTTGAGATCAGTGAATCCTTGAAAGTGGAAGGCCTACCTCTTAGGAAGGATGCTTAATATATTAAACCAGTGGTCCCCAACCTGCTGGCTAGGGACAGACATTCAAAAAGCCTGAGCCTGAATTAATTCAATCTTTGCAGGTTAGTCTAACCTGGCTAGGGTAAATCAGTTTTGTAACCAGACAGACATCCCAGAAATGTAGGCACATGCCTGCAGTGGCTCAGGCTAGAAGCTGGGGAGGCGCTAGAGCAGCCCTCCCTTCCCTTATTCAAAGAGCTGAGGGGGGCATTTATCAGTTCTGTTATCAGCATTTAGCACCCCATCAGAAAAGAAAGCCTGGCTTATTACAAGCTCTTCTTAAACAGCTTTTTGCAAAGGAAGGAATGCAGGGACATTATCATGTGAGCTGTTGATTACAGGTTTCCCCTCACTTTATGCTTTACGTGCGTTCCTGGAAAACGGCGCTTAACTCAAATTTGCATAAAGGGAACCCACTTTACAATGAAACAAATAGGGATATGTTCCAAGACCTTGACTATACTGACCCCCTTAACTGTACTGATGTGCTGTTCCACTGCTCCCGGGGCAGCTGCAGCTCCAGAAGCACGGGTACCAGCTGCAGCAAAGCACAGGCATTGTTGCTGGGAGGCTCCATGGCTCACAGCTCCTGGAGTGCTGCAATGATGGGGCCAGACCAGGCCAGGCTGCAGGGGCTGATGCTGCAGCCTGGCCCGGCTACCACCACCCGGCTCAGTCCCCCCAAATAATTTTTTCTTTCTCCGCCTATGGCATCACTCCCACAATGCACCGCACAAAGCAGCTGACTGTGGGCTTCCACCACACTGATTGCATAAGAGTGAATTTACCTCGTGTATAACAAATTTTTGGTATAAAATGGGTCATCGCATAAGAGCAAATTCACACATACAGAAACCGCATAAAGGGAGGGAAACCTGTACCTCCAAAAGGCCCTATATGCCTTACACAGCATTAGCTAGCAGACCACATGCTGCCTACAGTCTGTGCTGTGGGAGAAATGAGGAAGGGATCTCTGCTTAAGCAGCGAGTTGGGGGGGGGGGCATGGGGAAGAGCAGAGGGGAGGGGCCAGCTCTGCTGTGGGGCAGAGAGCCCTGGCCAGCCCAGAGAGCATGCCAAGATGCTGGTGGAGTCTGATTTATCTTAATCCAGCAAGGGGTTTGAGACAGACATTGCATAAACGAGTTTGACCCAAATCAGTTAAGTCTGATACATTCAACCAGGTTGATCTCAAGCCGGTTTCAGTCATTTTCAAGCAGGTTTATGTACACTGAACATCTGTTCTGTTATAGTTTAAAACAGTTTGTGTG